ACGGCTTCCACTTCCCTACTGGACAAGAGTCTCAATCCCAAAGCCAAAGTCCCAAAAGAAGAGATTAATTCTGGGATTATTTGTATAAAGTATCCTATCGGGGTTAAACTGTGCCCTTCCCAAAAACACACGCTACCGCCAGGCTGATGGTGGCCCTTGCCTTTAATCCCAGCATTTAAGAGGCAGAGGCAGGTGGATCTCTGTGAATTTGAGACCAGCCTGGTCTACAGAGCGGGTTCCAGGACAGGCTTCAAAGATACACAGAGAAATCCTGTATCCAAAAGCCAAACAAACAAACAAAAGACACATTACCTCTCCCAACTCAGAACGTGACTTTTCTTGGAGAGGGTCATTGCAGATGTAATGAGGACATAATACAGCAGAGTGGAACCTTAGTTCAAGGACTAGTGTCCCTGTAGGGAGGGGGAAACTGGGACACAGATGCAGACAAGGATGGTCGTGTAAGGATTGGGAACAGTTGCAATGATGCTCCCTTGGCTTCCAGAAACTGGAGAGCAAAGAAGGCTCTTACCTTGAAGCTTCAGATGAACGTGACCCGGGCAAACCTGACTTTCAGACTTCTGGCCTCCAAGGTGAAGCAACAGTTTCTGTGCTTAAAGCAACGTGAGTTTTGGTGGTGGCAGATTTTGTGGTAGCAGGTTTAGAAAACCAGTACAGTGCCCAGTGTGATCCAGTCCTTTGTGCCTAGGGGACAAGGTCTTTTCTTTTTCTTTTCAAGACAGGGTTGAGCTTTGGAGCCTTTCCTGGAACTTGCTCTGTAGACCAAGCTGGCCCAGAACTCAGAGATCTGCCTGCCTCTGCCTCCCAAGTGTTGGAATTAAAGGTGTGCACAACCTGGCCAGGACTAGATTTTAGCATACAAACATGACACTTCAAGACTCAGCCCCATGGAAGGATGGATCACAGGATGTGGGGCCAATACCCTGAAATGCTATCCTTCTACTTCCATAGATATGGGACAAATACAGTCTCTCCTACTCTTCTCTTTCTTCTTTTCTGGTTTCCCTTTAAAGTCTTTAGCTCTTTTACCTTCTGGAATGTACTATAGTGTGTAGTATAAGATACAAATCGGGGGCTGGAGATGGTTCAGTGGTTAAGAGCACTGACTGCCCTTCTAGAGGACCCAATTCCCAGCACCTATGTGGCAGCTCAAAACTGTCTATAATTCCAGTTCCAGGGGACCCAACACCCATGGCAAAATACCAATGCATATAAAATAAATAAATAAATATATATATATATATTTTTTATGGTCTTTTTTGAGATAAGGTTTCTCTGTGTATCTTTGACTATCTTGGAACTCATTCTGTAGACCAGGTTGAACCTGAACTCACAGAGATCTGCCTGCCTCTGCCTCCCAAGTGCTGGGATTAAAGGCATGCCCAGCTAATAATTTTTTTTTTAAAAAAAAAGTATACAGACCGGTTGTCTTCCACACTGCGATCCACTTGTCTGATTTATTAGTGTTCCTCTTATTGCCATGTTGCATTTCATTTATTAAATTGAGCACTGATGTTTGAACATTAATTTTGGAATCTCTAGGTTCAAGTCCTCTGATTGGCTCATCGGGTTCCTGTCAAGGAGTGAGATGACTCTATGTTTGCAGGATTTGAGGGGTGGGTAGGGTGGGGGTTTGATCCTATAATTTCATGACTGCTGGCCAACGGTTCTAACCCTGAGCTACATCCTCCAGCAACTCTGCAAGCTGAGTTCTGCGCTTCCCACCTATAGCGATCTGAAATATCCACTTCTTATGAACATACTCTGGAGAGAATGGGGTGTTTATAAAATGTTTCTTTTCTTTTTTCTTTTTTCTTTTTTTTTTTTTTTTTTTTGCTTTTTCGAGACAGGGTTTCTCTGTGGTTTTGGAGCCTGTCCTGGAACTAGCTCTTGTAGACCAGGCTGGCCTCAAACTCACAGAGATCCGCCTGCCTCTGCCTCCCAAGTGCTGGGATTAAAGGCGTGCGCCACCACCGCCCGGCTATAAAATGTTTCTGAGGTTTGATAAAAACACACTCGAACTCCTCTGTTGGGGGTAGCTGTGCTACATCCCCTCCATTTGTGAGGGTCTCGTTATGTTGCTCAGGCTAGTCTAGAAGTCCTGACGTCAAGTGCTCCTCTATCAGCTTCTTGACTAGCTGAGACTCCAGGCTTACCACTGTGCCCAGCCTGTTTCTCTTTTTGAAATGGATCCTGGTTCTATTAACACATCTGGCCTTATGATGAAGCCTGCATATGTACTATGACCTTCATCGTATGTACACACAGTAAGCACTCAGTCCGTGTTGGGTGATAGAGATGACCAGAGAATTCCTACCTCATTCTTAACTGGAGCCAACTCTGTTCATCCACTGCCTTCCTCTAGTTGTGCATAGGACTAGAAAAGGGGCTGGGCGGCAGTGGCGCACGCCTTTAATCCCAGCACTCGGGAGGCAGAGGCAGGAGGATCTCTGTGAGTTCGAGGCCAATCTGGTCTACAAGAGCTAGTTCCAGGACAGGCTCCGAAGCTACAGAGAAAGCCTGTCTCAAAAAACCAAAACAACAACAACAACAACAATAATAATAATAATAATAAATAAAAGTTGTGACAGGCTAACCAATGGCCACCCTCAGCATTGTCTATGTCTGAAGCCCTACAGTCTTTATCTCACGGTGAAAGGAATTTTGGAGATGTGGTTAAGCTAAGGATTTTTAACCTCTTACATTAGTTACTTTGTGTGGCACACATACACACGGGGGCATTTCTGGCTTATGTGTGGCAGTCAGTGGCTATCTTACAAAAGTAAGTTCTTTCCTTCTACTGTTTGGTTCTTGGCATCCAACTCAGGCTTGGCAGCGAGTGCTTTTATCCCGAGCCATCTAACTGGCCCCAAGTTAAGGGTTTAAAAATGGGACAGTCAACCTGGAGAATCACAAGGTCCTATAAGAAGGGTGGTGGGAGAGGTAGAGAAAAGGAAAGGCAATGACCCAAGCTGGAATGATTCATTCTGCAGGAGGAAGGGGACCTGCCAAGGACCCATGTAGCCTCTGGAAGCTGGGGAGGAAAATCACAGATCCTTCCCTGGAGCCCCCAATATGTAGAGTCCTGATCACATTTTCATTCTAGCTCGGCCAGACTCACTTGGGACCGTTTTCTAGAGTCGTATGATAACAGATTTGTGTTCTGAAACACTAAGCTTGCGATAATAATCCGTTGAAAAGGAAAAAGATAGGAGGCAGAGGCAGGTGGATCGTTGTGAATTTGAGGTCAGCCTGGTCTACACGATGTTGAGCCAGTGAAACCTTGTCTTAGAAATGAAAGGGAGGGAGGCGGAGGCAGATAAAAGAAGCCCTGCTTAGCTGTAGGTGTGAACCTGGTAGCACTTTTCTGGCTAGACCACCCAGCCAGGTATCCACCAACTGCTGGTCTTGCGGGTTCCTTCGGGCCTCGTAGCTCGATTTCAGCAGTCAGTGACGAATCCCCACTGGATACCCACTCACCTTTGGGTTTTTTTAATTCTTAATTTTTATTTGATCAGCTGTTCCAATATATTAATGTTAAGCCCTCCTGATTGACTGAAGTTATTGAAGTTACTAGCAGTATGTAGAAATTTAACTGAAAAATAAAAAAGAAGAAAGAAAAAACAAGCAAGCAAGCTGTCCTTAGCCAGGCAGTGGTGGCACATGCCTTTAGTCCCAGCACTAAGGAGGCAGAGGCACGTGGATCTCTTTGAATTTGAGGCCAGCCTGGTCCAGAGCTATTACACAGACGAACCCTCTCCCGAAAAACCAAACAGGCAAACAAACAACCCCTCACCACAAAGAAGTTGCTTAATCCAGGAGACATTTTCTCTCCTAGCAAAGAGGCGAGTGTGTGTGGGGGAGGAGCACAAACTTGAATTTAGCCAGAATCGTTGAGCTGTGTTTCTGAACATTTTTTTATTCACTGGGTTTAAAATCTGGGGCTCTGGCAGAAATTGGAGAAACTGGTCTGTAGTCCAAGCGAACCTCACCGCCGGTGAGCTACTCAAAGCCGCAGTTCTGGCAAATACACACCACCCCAGTTCCTAACTCAAGATTCATTCTGTGGGTCCGTATCATTGGAAGAAGAAAGGGATAAAATGCACGTTTTGGGCACTCCTGGAGAACGGCATCTTACCACGAAAGAGCTTTTTTCACTCCTCTCTTTCGGAATAAAAGGGCTCTTGCTCGTGATTTTATATGCATGATGATTTTATTTCTTCTTCCCGTTGTTTCAAGCTGGGCGCTAAACATTGGCCTAGGCCCCAGGCGCCTGCTGGAAAGCCCTCACAGGCGCAGAAGGTTGGCAAAGGAAACCCTAAGGGCGGGAGGCATCCCCAACGCTTTTGTTTCCTAGAACCTGACGGATTTTCTTGAAGTCCCCTGGGCCAGGCCAAAGACTCCCCCAATCCAAGACCCCGGGTGCAGGGGTCGATGCTCTCTTAGGTCCCCAGATCACGGGTGTGGGGACCACCCATGTAGCAGAGCCTCCCCGCCCCGCCCCGAGCCGAGCCCCGCCCTCGCAAGCTGCTCCAGCCTGAGGAAGCCCCACACACTGCGGAGGGCTTGCTGAGTCCTCCCTAACAGAGGCTGGCCGCCAGGACCCAGCTCCTCGAGATAAAGACGGAGGATGGACCGAGCCTTTCCCTTACATGTCGAGTGCTCTTTCCTAACTCCACACGCCATCCTAAATAAATTTCAACCCGCTGTCATTTGAGAAAAAGCAAACAAACCAAAACAAAAACAAAGGTAATGCTTTGGGATAAAGTGACACCGTTTCTTCAGATCAGCACCTGAAATCATTCTACCCAATTTAGACCGGAGAGTACGACCCTGATGTAGATAGATGGGGCGTGTGGAGGAACAGGGAGGCATTGTGTGACTTAGGGGTCTCAAGTCTCCTCCAGGAGGCAGGGCCCACGGTCTGGTCCCTTCTCTTCTAGTTGCCCGAATGGAAAATTGATGTAGGACAGCTTAGCCCAGGTCAACAAACTTTTATTGCCATTTCTGCCAGATTCCTGATTCTTCCACTGTAGAAACACCGAGTTCTGGTGCTGGGAGATGAGGGTGGAGGGTGTTGCCACTCTTCTGCCAAGTTAAAGAAAACCCCACTTGCTGGAGAGGGAGGGCCAGACAGAGAGGAATTCAAGGGCATGTATGGCTTAGGCCGGCTTCTGCCGACTGCAGAATATAGGGACCACGGTTCCAAACTCTTTTGCGAAGGGGGTGGGGATGAATTTGGCTGCTGTTGTACCCCTTGCCCTTGCTGCCATGTTTCCATGGAAATGAAGGAGGGGCAGGATGTAGCTCACTCTGAGTACCTGGGAGGGTGGCAGGGCAAGCATTTGGTAAACATATCCCCTTCCACTTCTACCCCCATATACCCAACTGTCCCCATGCAACCCCCAGGCTCACTCTCCTCTGCCTGCTCCACTCCCTTCCCCTCCGGAGCTGGGGTTATGCCAACTGGACTCCAGGCAGGGCTGCTAGTGTCTGGTCTCCACAGCCAGGTCGCCCTGGCAGCAAACTCCAAGTATGTCCACCTAGTCCAGAGCAGCCCTAACAGGGCTGTCTGTTGTGCCTCGGGAAGCTACGCAGCTAGTACCCCTACAGCTGTCGGTACCACCGCTGCTTCCCACACACCGTTGACCAGACAAAACTTGAAAACACAAACCCAAATGTTCAAGGTTAGAAACAGGACAAAATAGTTCTCTAACAATGCTGAGGCTAGGATGGGGGATGTGAGGCAGGTCCTTCTGAGACCTGAGCCATCTTGTGCCCTGTCTTCTGGAGTTTGCTTCTTTCCACTGGGCCCTCATTGCTGGGGGTCTGAAATCCAAATCTCCATAGGGTACCGTTCTCAGTACCCTCTGCTGTTGGTCCATGAGGCTTGCCCATCACCACGGCCAGGCGGCACGGGGAGGCTTCTCAGTACCACGGGTCAGCCCGGTGCTGTTGGTTGTAGAGCTGCAGTTTGATCTGATCTTTTATTTGATTCACGAGGACCTGGGACAGCAGGATTCCCACCAGCTGCAAGGGGCAGAATGGATGTAGCCCTCAGCAGAGAGGGACTATCTGGCTTTCCCTGGCTTAGTCTTCCCAGGGCAGCAAGCACCCCTACCCTCACCCCATGTCAGTACCCAACTGATCCCTGGATTCCTCCACAAATGACAGCCTTTGCAGCGTTTGTAAAACCTTGAAGTTGGACAGGATAAGTTACCTGAGGGATGGCCAGGCCTAGTGCCACACCGCCAAGTAGGAACAGGTTGCTGTGTATCCAGTTGACCAACTTGTCAATACAGCCGTTAGTGTAGATGACTTTACTGGCTTCCAAGTAGTCAAGAGCCTGCATACCTTGGCCACACATAGTGTTGATCACTGCCTGAGGGAAAAGTCGAGAAGCCGAATGACACCCCCACACCAGCAAACACTGGCTGATAAACGTGCCAACTTTCCCAACTCCCTAAGTTGTCAGAGAAGGTCTGCAGAGAATACTGGAGTAAAAGTAGCTTACTGTAGAACTCCTTTCCAAACTCCCTGGGTCTGATGCTCGGTTTCAGACCTGCTTCTTCTGAAGCCCACGTGGGCTGTTGGAGTGAAAGGCAAGCGTGACCCTACAGGGGGGTGAACACAAGCATCTGCCAGCCACCCTGCACACCAACTGGTTAAACTACGGGGATAGAGTGTCACCATAACAGCCTTGCTGACCAGGAAGTAACTTGGAGTGTTCCCAGGAGGAAGTGAAGTAGGGTGTTTGCTCACCTGATTGGGGGTGGGCAAGCAACAGGAATAAGGCACCGAGCAACGCTCACGGCTGGGGTTGTCCTCCGAGCAGTTAAAGTACATATTCTGAGACCAGTCTCTGTAGGAAATCCCTCCGCAGCAGCTGAACTGCAACAAGACCACAGAGAGATTAAGAATCACTGGTTTAGCCTACAGTCCACAACCCCAGAGAACCTAGACAACAAAGACGACCCTAAGAGAGAAATATATGGATCCGCCTAGGAAGGAGAAAAAGACGAGATCTCCTAAATAAATTGGGAGCACAGGGGGGTAGGGGGTAGGGTGAAAGGGGAGAGGGGAGGAAGGGAGAGGAGTGAGGAAAATATATAGCTCAATTAAAAACAATAAATCAAATAAAATTTAAAAAAATTTAAAAATTTAAAAAAAATCACTGATTCCCCCTGATTCCCCACACTGAGGTGGCCAGTGGGGTTCATTTGTAACATCAAGTTATTCTAAACACATCTATGAACTCAAGCTTCTTGGTTGCTTTCACCTGAAGAAATTCTCTTTTTAATTCTTCATGTGTCTTATTAGTTAGTGCTTGATACTCCAACTGCATGCAGCACACACACACACACACATACATGCAGCACACACACACACACACACACCCATACACACAACTGTACATATCATTCAAGTGTAACCTCTTGAGAGAAGGTTCTGGGTTTACAACCCTATAAAACATAGCCTGACAGAAGGAGATACTTAAGTTTCTGGCTAGACTGGGGGTGTGCAGTGATGGAGAATATGCTTAGACTGTGTGACCCCTAATTCACTTCAGCACTACCAAGAAAAACTATTTTAAATAAAATCCAAACTGAAAAACTTGACATTTAAAAAAAATTCAAGAAGAAAATCTTCAACATCATGAGTCCACAATTACTCCAGGGAAGCAAACTAAATCCTAAAGTCAAAAGTCGCTGACCAGGGGAAGAGACAATCAGTAGTGGAGCTGAAAACAACTCCATTCAAATCTCCCTTTGATTCACAGCAGCATAGCACAAAATAGCCACAAGGTGGATGCAACTCAAGTGTCCACCCGCTGCTGAACAAAATAAGGCAGTCACTCGAAGAGTATTATTTAGTCTTAAAAAAGGAAATTCTGGAGCCAGCAGGGAGAGATGGCTCAGGGGTAAAGAGCACTGACTGCTCTTCCAGAGGACCTGAGTTCAATCCCTAGCAACCACATGGTGGCTCACAACCATCTGCAATGTGATCTGGTGCCCTCTTCTGATATGCATGCATACATGCAGATAGAACACTGCATAATAAACAAATAAAACCTTTAAAAAATAAGGAAATTCTGGAACATGCTACAACATAGATGAAACTTGAAGCCAAGCCAAGTGAAAGAAATCAGTCACAAAAGGACACATATTGCATAATTCCATTCATATGAAGCCCCCAAAGTAGTTACATTCACAGGAAGTTCAACTGTGGTTGCCTCCATGAGAGTGAAATGGGCACAGTTCAGTCGAGAAAAATGAAGTGGTTTTAGTTTTTAAATTGTTCCCGTGTGTCCGTGTGTGTGTCTGTGTGTGTGTGAAGGCCAGATGACAACTTTTGGGAGTTAGCTCTCTCCTTCCCCTGCGGCTCCAGCATCAAACTCAGGTTGTTAGTCAGGTTTTTACCCTCTCAGCCATCCCACCAGCCTGAAGAGTTTCGTTTTGTGTTGAGATGAGGGTTCCTGCAGCCAGGCTGGCGGGGAACGCAGTATGTAGTCAAGTCTGGCTTTGAACTCTCAATCTTTCTGCTTTCATTGCCCTAGCACAAGGGATGGTGTGTACTGCCATAGAGACAAAGACGGGACAGTTCTGCTAATAAATTTAGCAATGGGTACATACAATGTGATTTTTCCCCTCCTATACTGGAGATTGAACCTAGGACCTCACCCATACCGGGTGCTCTACTACCGAGCTACAACCCCAGGGTCTCACAAGTTACTCAGGCTGTCCTTGAACTCACAAGGAAGGCCTTGAATTCTTGATCCTGTTTTAGCCTCTCAAGCAGGGAGGATTACAAGTTATGTCAACACATCCAGCTAATGTAAATATTTTTAATACTTAAAATGGCAAATTCTGGGTTGTGGGCACAGCCCAGTGTTATAGTATTTGCCCATGATGTTCAAAGCTTTGAGTTCTACTCCTAGTTTCACAAAAACAAGAAAAACAAACAAACAAAAATGGTATTTTTGGTTGTGTATATTTGGCCACTTTTTTTTTGGTTTTTCAAGACAAGGTTTCTCTGTAGCTTTGGAGCCTGTCCTGGAACTAGCTCTTATAGACCAGGCTGGACTCGAACTCACAGAGATCCACCTGCCTCTGTCTCCTGAGTGTTGGAATTAAAGGCATGTGCTACCACCGCCCGGCTCACAATTTTTAATGTAATATATAATAAAATATATAGCTCCTCATTCCCCTACAGGAAACCCCTTACAATGATTTCTTAAAAATTCTTCCAGAATCCTTTTGCAAATAAGAACTCAGAGTCTTTCCTGTCCTTTTCTTTACATAAGCAGCAGATTATGAATACTATATGTACCATTATGCTCTTAACAGTACCTGTTTCTCCCACAAAGTCCTTCCCAGAATATATGACTTTGCAAGTAAAAGAAGTCCACAGGCTTACAGAGTGAGACATTTCTTGAACAACCGTAACTTTCAGCCCCTACCCCCCTGGACACTGGATGACCACACTATGCTTGGCTGGTACCTTCTTCTGGCCAAAGTCAATGAGGTTCTGCAGGTCCAGGTCGTCTCGATAATGCACAATAGCATTGTTGATTAATTCACTCACTTTCCCCCGAGCCTGCCAGATACACAATCAGGACACAGGATTAATCCATAATTTATTAATTCCCTCAGAAATAACAGCAAACACAGACAGGCATCTGTGGTAGTTTGAGTATGCCCCCTAGTCTCAGATATTTGAATATCATTGGTGGTACTATTTTGGGAGATGTGGAAGGTGTGGCTTTGTTGAAGGAAGTGTGTCACTGGGGATGGGCTTTGAAGTTTAAAAGACTTGTACCATTCCCAGTGCACTCTCTTCCCTCTTTGTGGGTCAAGATGTGAGTCCCCAGCATCCTACCTCTGTCACCATGCCTGCTGCTTGCTGCCCTGTCTCCCCTGCCGTGGCATACTTACCCCTCTGGATCTGTAAGCCAAATAAACTCTTCTCTAAGTTGCCTTGGTCAGGGTATCTTATCACAGCAACAGAAAAGTAATTTATATAACACTGTTTTGTCTTTTTGCTCCCCTTTTCAGATTTCTCCCTGTTTTATGGTCAGAGCACAATTTGTAGGGCAGAAGGGCACCCGCCATACATACATACATACTGCAGTGTGGTCAGAGGCCCAGGGTAGTCCTTCCCAGTCTTATGCCATGCCCCAGCAGATCAGCACAGGCTTGGCACTCTCCCATCCCATTCTGAGTATTCACTGACAGCCACTAAAGTTAGTGAAGCCAAATGACCCTAAGTCCCTACCTAAGTACCAGCTCCCATCTTTCCAGCAAACGTAGTCGTTGTCACTGTCTCCTATGCTGGCCTCCTTTTTTACACACTGGATGTTTCTATCATATCCTGCGGGCCATGAACTCACCAGCGAGCCTCATTCTGTCACAAATGCCCTTCAACGACCTTATAAATTTAACGAGAAGCCCTGCGAGCTTTGGTGACTGAGGCCATGATAAGCTTCCGGTCCTTGTTCATGCAGGATGAAGCGGGAGAGCCTGACTGCTAGAGAGATAGGACTCATGCTCTTTGCTCTTTAATACCAATGAGAAAGCCTAATGTAGGGGCCTGGGTCACTAAGCGGTATTAGCGACAAGGCAGTCACTAATCCCCCCCCCCCAAGAGCGGGGGCAAATCACAGACTAAAGTTCAAAACTAGGACAGCTACCAAAGGTCACGGTCATATCCCCTCAGATCATCTTTAACCCGAATCAGCCTTGAAATCCGACCTAACAAGGGAAGACGGTTGGTTTTCAAGGCCCATCCACTCTGGGGCTCAGGTGGGGCAAGAGAAACATTGATCCTGACGTCATTGCTTCTCAGAACTAGCTTTCAAAATAATGCAGTGTTTGTCTGCCTCTGCATACCAGTACCTCAAAATAGCTATTGACTAGTGCCACGAAGAAATGAATTTTGTGTTGATTTTAGGAGAGCTTACTGTGCGGAGACACTGACCCCTAGTGGACACAAGAAAACTGCATCTCTTTAGACTTGATGCATCTACTTTATTAAGGCAGAAGGAAGGGCTTTCAGCTACAAATCAGCTCAAGACTGCTCAGTTTCACAATTTCGTATCATGGTCTCTTTCTGCTCAACTACTTTTCCTGTGGATTTTGTGTATTTGTGTGTTGAGACAGGGCTTCTCTGTGTACCCCTGGATGTCCTAGAACTCACTGTAGACCAGGCTGGCCTGGAACTCAGAGATCTACCTGGGATTAAGGGCATGTACCATCACTCCTGGCTTCTTTTCCTGTGATTTTATCTCACAGCCTTGTACTTTATTCCTGCTGACTATCTGTCAGTTGAGAATGGAATTCTGGTTCTCCCCACCCCCAGTCACCCAGGTTTCTGAGACAGGCTCTCATTAGGTAGCTCAGGCTGTCCTAGAATGCACTACGCAGACCAGGTTGTCCTCAAACTCACAGTCATCCACCTGCCTCTGCCTTCTGAGTGCTGGGACTAAAGGTGTGCACTACCACACCTGGCTACTTTTTTTTTTCTTCCTTTATCTTAAAAGACAGATTTCTCACTATGTAGCTCCAGCTAGCCTGGAACTCACTAAACAGGCAATGCTGGCCCCAAACTCATGGTGATCCCCCTGCTTCTGGCTTCCCAGTGCTAGGATGAAAGGAAAGGCTGGTTCTTAATTAGGCCTGTTGCCTCAGGACAGCCCACCTCCAAGTGTGGGAAACGGGGTTCCCTCTGCCTATGCATCTAGTTCAATAAAGAGTTCTCGATTAAGAGTCTCTTCAAGTCTGCGGTCCTGATAGCAGTTCTACTCGGGTCATTTACCATTCATGTTTGCAGGTTATTTTAAAGTCTCTCATGGTCATAGAATTTTCTTCTCTAATGGCATCTCGGATTGTCAAAGGAAAATGCCTTACTATCATGAGATTCTCTTTAAAGAGGTTGGTGTTAAAGGCCATTTATTCACCCCTAAGGGAACCTTTCAAAAGCTGGTACTTCCCAGGGGAGAAAGTGCTGTGGCTAATTAGTCAGGAGTAGGAACTTCCCCTTCCTCCCTCTGGTACTGAAGAGGCCTCTAGGCTCCCAGGGTTACCTTGTCTGAGAAGACGAAGCCCAGGATGCCGGCAGCCAGCTGCAGCAGGAACACGATGGTGAGGCAGAGGGAGAACTGTGGCACACAGGCAAGACAAGAGACAGTTGTCACTGCTCAGGGAAACAGCCCTTTCCAGGGCCAAGCAGAGTACTGAGTACTGAGAGGCAGCTAGGCTCTTCTCCACACACACCCCCCCCCTCCAGCATGGCAAAGGCTACTGCCTCCAGGACTATGATGCAGAGGTGGCCACCCTGTGCTGGGTCACCCAGAGCACTCTGCTACCTTAGCACATGACAGAAGGCACAGGGGAGAGGAAAGCGAGGCCCTTCTGTGGAGCTTTTGCGCACTCACCGTCTGCAGAAGGCAGATGTTCTCGCGAAGGGATCCGATACAGCCACAGAAGGTGAGGAGGAACATAAGGACACCCACCACGATCAGCAGGATGGCGGGGTCCACTGCCAGACAAGCCAAGGCTGCTTCTGGGAGAGAGGCTGACCCTCAGCTGGAGCCCAGTGCCCTCCAAGGGGGCTCCCAGGAATGGATGGGATGGGAGGGGTGTACCCACACTGTTCTTCCTGCACTAGGGGAGTCTCCTTGCCTGGTGATGATTATGAGAAAGCAAGACCTTCCCCAGGGAAGAACAGAAAGCGTGTAGAGAAGTCCTGGCGTGTAACTGCAGGAACTGGGGAGCAGGCTCCTGGTGGGACGGCGGGGAGCGGGGTGGGGGCGGCACTGCCGCTCCAGAGATGAATTAGAATGACACTGGGCTCATGCCTGGGTGGATTCCTAGAGACTCCACAGAGGAATCCAGCTTGAGTCACTTCAGGGTAAACTAGCTAGGGAGGGCAAAGTCCTTGACTGCTCTCTGCTTCCACAGACTCAGCTTCTCTCCAGGACTTAGGCTCACGGGTAGGCAGATCTTGGGAGAGGGACGGGGGCTCAGGAATGCCCAAGTGAACCGCCAGTCTGACATGACCCAGGGCCAGGATGGAAGCAAACAGGGCACGGTGAGAGTGTGAGAGGCAGAGGGAGACCTGGAACCCACCTGCGTGCTTCATCAGCCTGGCATAGACACCCACAGCCACCATGACCATGGAAATGACCTGTGGGAAGAGGCAAGGAGTCAGATCGAGAGCTCTGGACACAATGAAAATCCTGCGAGGAGGGCAGGGAGGACAGCTCTCCCGGGGTCCGGGTGCAACATCCCCACCTGCCTGCCCCCAGTGACAATGCGAATACCACTTAACCTCCGTGAGAAATGCCCAGTACCGGCTCCGTCTTTCTCTGTGACAAGACTATCTTGTGAGACAGAGTGTCCCCATTTCACAGGTGCAGAAATTAAGATAGTACAAGTTTCATATAGAATGGAACAGCGATTAGAAACACAAGCTTCCAGACAGGCTTGAGGGTATAACTCAGCACAAGGCCTGGGTTCAATCACAAGCATCAAAACTTCACACAGATGCATGCGTGCGCACACACATGCAATTGAAACAAAGCATGGCCTTCTGAGAGATTCAGATATTTAACCCTATTTAAGACAAATTTCTTTTTTTTAAATTTTATTTATTTATTAAGGATTTCTGCCTCCTCCCCGCCACCGCCTCCCATTTCCCTCCCCCTCCCCCGATCAAGTCCCCCTCCCTCATCAGCTCTGAAGAGCAACCAGGGTTCCCTGACCTGTGGGAAGTCCAAGGACCGCCCACCTCCATCCAGGTCTAGTAAGGTGAGCATTCAAACTGCCTAGGCTCCGCCAAAGCCAGTACGTGCAGTAGGATCAAAAACCCATTGCCATTGTTCTTGAGTTCTCAGTAGTCCTCATTGTCCGCTATGTTCAGCAAGTCCGGTTTTATCCCATGCTTTTTCAGACCCAGGCCTAGGACAAATTTCTGAGTCTCAGTTGATTCCTGCGTGTGAAGCTGGAATTAAGGACAAAGAGCCAGGTGGGATGGTTTATGGCAGTCAATCTCAGCATTTAGGAGGCTGAAATGGAGAATTAAGAGTTCGAGGTCAGCCTGTGCTCCAGTGCAAGAGCCTGCCTCAAAGGAAAAAAAAATTATTTTTATTTGTGTCTGTGTGGATGTGCACTGAAGCCAGAAGATGGCGTAGGTGATCCTTGGATCCCTCGGCACTAGAATTACAGGTGTCTGTGAAATGCTGACTGTGGGTGTCCTCTGAGTTACAGCAATCAGCATTCTTAACCACCGAGCCAGAGCCATCGCTCTAGCCAAAACTTTAAAAAGGAATACTCATATTTCTTTTTTTTTGTTTGTTTCTTCTCTCACCACCCCCAGGAAAGGTTTCTCGGTGTAGCCCTGGCTGTAATGGTGCTTGTTCTGTAGACCAGACTGTCCTCAAACTTAGAGATCTGCTCGCCTGCCTCCCAAGTGCTGGGATTAAAGGTATGAGCCACTATGCCCCATTGAACTTGTATTTCTTATATCTTAAAAAATGTTGTAGGGGCTGGAGAAATATCTCAGTGGTAAGAGCACTTGCTCTTGCAGAGGACCTGGGTTAAGTTCCCAGCACCCACACAGCGGCTCATAAGCACCTCTAACCCCAGTGTCAGGCAATCTGGTCCCTTTCTCTGGCTTCTGAGGGCAACTTTCATACATGCAGGCAAAATGCTCATACACATAAATAAAAATAAGCTAATTTTAATGGTTGATTCATTTCTTCATTCGCGTATGTATGGGCTCATGCCACACCGTACACACGGTCAGAAGACAGCCTGCAGGAGCTGATTCTTTCCTTCCAGGGAACAAACTGGGGTTGTCAGGCTTGGCACTGAGCTATACCCGCGGACTCATGCCGTCAGTCCAGAAAAAAATATTTTTGTAAGAGTTAAATAAAATAATGTTTGGAAAGCACCTAACACAATTTCCGACATTAAATATCCATCACCAGTGTGATCACACAGGGATTGTGCGATTCTGAATTCTAACCCACCTGCATCAAAAGGCAGGGCTTCCAGGCAGATAGATGCGGGCTCTAGCTCTCCAACTCCCTTGGAAGCCAAGGATAAAATGCACATGGGCACAAAAGGCAGGAGTGTGTGTGATTCCTGGCACTACCACGGAAAGGAACCTTTATAGACTCCGGTGCCAGCGCGGAAGAATACAACCTAGGCCTGACAAATGTCACGGCTCCCCCCTGTGAGAGCAAACCCATTAAAGGTCCCCAGAGGCTTTTAATCCCTGGACCTCCAAGAGCGCTCTGTAGCCCCAGCTCCCCGCTCAGCTTCAAGCCCGGTTTCCAGGCTGGTGCTAAGCAGCAGCTGACTGTCACCATGGCAATAGATGAGGCCAAGCTCTGGCAGAGAGAGTTCTTAGTAGCAGGGACTTGACCAACTCGGTAAGGAAGGGCATGGCAGTTAGACCCCCACATCCTGCAAGACAAGAATCAGCTGGAAAGGGCCATTTGGAGGGGTCTTCCATGAAAGCAGGGAGCTGAGCCCCAGGACAGGTAATAGGGTCAAACTAGTCCTCTGTGAAAAAGGTATGTTTTCATGTGGCACTTATTTCTGAAAATTCTTTATTATTTAGTGAGTTAATGGCTAATCCTGGATTAAAAATAAGTCTCCGGAACGCTTTTTTTTTTTGTGAATCTACAGCCCTTTCTCCTTGCTCCTTCATCTGGCCTTTCCTCTGACTCATGGCCAGCATTATCAACTGGCCTCCAAATCTGTGTTTGTGCATCCACAACCCTGTCTACAAACACACACACCGACACACACACACAACTGAAATCTGGCCCTTCCTTAGACCTGGCTCCATATATTATCAGCCTTCATATTCTGCCCAGAACAAACAGGACAGCTTACAGAGCCGAATGTGAGTCCTATAGCATGGCTAGGCTTAGGAAAACCATAAGTCAGTTGCCTCCAGGTATGGAAGGGTCCTTTGATAGTACGAGTAAATGTCTCTGTCCCTTAAAACTAACCACACCTGGGCCAGCAGATGGCTCAACAGGCAGAGACACTTGCTGCCGTACCTGGAACCTACTCCACAAAACCAACCCCTGCCCTACACACACACACACACACACACACACACACACAGTGTGTCTTTAGTTAGGATTTCTATTGCTGGGATAAAACATGACAGCCAAAGAGCAAGAAAGGGTTTATTAGGCTTACACTTCAGCATTGTTGCTCATCACTGAAGGAAGTCAGGACAGGTAACTCAAAACACGGCAAGATCTGGAGGCAGGAGCTGATGCAGAGGCCACCGAGGGGAGCTGCTTGCTGACTTTCTTCCCCTGGCCCGCTCAGCCCACCTTCTTATAGAACCCAGGACCACCTGCCCAGGGATGGCACCACCCACCATGGGTTGGGTCCTCCCTCAATGGTCACTAAATGGGAAAACACCTTCCAGCGGGATCTCATCGAGGCATTTCCTCAGTTGAGGCCCCTTTTCTCTAATGACTCTAGCTTGTGTCAAGTTGATGCACACAGCTAGCCAGTATAGCATGCAATTCCCTCGTCACTACATATAACTGCAGTTCTGAGTACCATTTTACTATGGACTGAATTAAAAACAAGTATCTATTCCGTGTTTCTGTTGCTCCCAGTCTCCTTGCATGCTAAAATGTTCTAGACTGGATAACTTTGTACAGGGATCAAATCAGCAGGCGTGATGGTGCACAGCTCTAATCCCAGTGGTCTGGAGGAAGAACCGGGAGACTGAGAAGTTCAAGGCCAGCCTTAACTATGAAATTTGGAAGCCAGAATAGGCTACATGAGACCTTATTTCAACAAGAGAGAGGGAAGAGGAGGAACAGAAGAGAGGGAGGAGAGAGGCAACATATCATAGGGCAACTTAATTCTCTCCATGGGCCTGTAATTACAACAGTAGCTCTGTCTACTAGAGTAAGTAGAATAGCATCCCCCAAAGACAATAATGTCCTAATTCTATGAATCTATGAATATATTATCTTACACGGCCAAAGAGACATTTTGCAAATGTGATTTAAGATTTAGAAACAGAGATTACCCCCCAGGGCCCAACAAGCAGACCTTATCAGAAGGAAGGAAGAGGGTCAGGAAGAGAGGGAGGTAGAGCAGTGGAGGTACCATGGACCGCATCACTCCAACCATGGATGCGATGCCATGGATGTAGGCAGCCTCGGATGCTGGAGCAGGAAGCACAGGAAGGAGCATGGTACTGCTGACACTTGATGACAGCCCAAGGAAGCTGGTTTTGGATTTTGGACCTCTAGAAACGTGAGAGACCAAATTTATTTTAATCATTAAGTTTGGAGAGACAGGATGCAATACACTGTTCAAATCCAACCAATCAGCTGCTAGTATAAGGTACTGTGAGGACCTACAATCTGTGTGTTATCCCGGAGAGAAAACAAGAGCATCTATAACTTAGAGCGATGGCTCTCAACTCCACCTGCCATAGAGTCACCTGGGCACCTGGGAGTGGAGGAGGTACCTCAACTCTTAATGCCCCCACTGCCCTGCAAAGCAAATAGTTTACAATCTCTGGCAAGGAGGCCCAGGCAAGCATAGTTCTTGAAGAGTTCCAGGTGATCACACAGGGCAGCCAGCTTGAGGACTTTGAAGTCTAAAGTGCAGCCAACCAGGAATGTAAAGTTGGAGCTAGGTTACGTTAAAATCAAGACTGAGGCCTGACTATTATTAGTAGCTCATGTGATCAGTAAGGATGCCCTTCCTCGGAGCTCTCCAGACCTGCATCTCACCGCTTATCTCCCACACTTCTGTTCTTGCCCTCACTTCCCTCCCCGGATCCCTCAAAGCTGCTGCCATGGCAAGGTGAGTGTTGCTGATATTAACAGCATCAAATTTCAAAGCTGAACAGAACTTCAGAACCGGACCCTTACACTCACCCCTAAATACAGAGGAAGCTAACGAGCAGAAGGGACATTTGGTCAAGTGTATACGGATGCTGTGGCGACGTCTGAACCCAGTGCAATTTCCTACCTCATTCTAGTAATCTTTCTAGGGTACCAGTCTTTGCTACAAAATCTCCATAATAATGACTTCCTTTCACGAGGACAGAGATAAAGTCATTGCTCTTCTTAGAGTGGGTTTTCAGAGAATGGACAGAATGAAGCCTGGTTAGAAACCTTTAAA